AACAAAAGCACAGGGAGGAATGTTTTAATGCGCTCACACAATCACGCTCTGTCGGCGGGTTGAGAATGGCGCTGAGGCCGGGTGACATGTGACTCACTCTCGATTTTTTTCCAGGTGGATTTTTGATTCCAATATCGAGCAGTTTGACAACAACAAGAAGATTTCTCTTTGAGTGTTGCGGTTTGAGTAGTGAAAAGTTCGAGCTTGGAGTCATTTGACAACTGTGTTTTCAAAGGAGTGTCGTAAAATAAAAATGAGCCTTAACAACAAAATACAGAAAGTTCCAGAAAGGTATGAAACGATGATATATTGCACTTTGATCTCTTAGATGTGCCATTGACTCTTAGTGAATGGGGAGTGTGTGTGTGTGTGTGTGTGTGTGTGTGTGTGCCATGTTAAACAACTCTCGGATCAGCATATCTGTGTACTTCTTCAAAAGCCCAGACAGCAGATGTGGTACGCTTTGTGGGCCATGTCACACCTGTGAAACTACTCACCTCTGCACAGAGGCAGTCTTAGACTGTAAGTAAACACAGGATGTTGCTGTGTGCCCATAAAACTTTATTTGCAAGGGCCTTGGCATTACAGAGGACTCCAAATGTGCAGCAGCTTACTGTCACGGTTTTTTAAAGCAGCATGTGGTGACACTTCAGAGAACAAAATCCACCTCAATGCATTTACCTCTCTGCTCTCGAGAGAAACTGGTCACTGAGCGGCCTCTTTTTGTGGGGGAAGAAGTAATTCTAGAGCACGAAATACAACAGAGGGGGTGATACCTTTTTAACCAAGATCCAGCTATCAACTAAATTTTAAATGTCGGTGACATTGCTCTAAGACCAAGAGGATTTAAGAAGAGGTTTTGTGCTTTGTTGTTTTATGAGCAATACTCATGGAACCCAAGGAGAGAACCGAAGTCTTTCCCCTTTAAAAGGGCGCTCACCTGAGCCAGGGGAGACTGTGACTTACCCGGGACAGAAAGCTCTCCAGAGACTCCGTCAAAGATCGCTTTGCTCTGCTTTTCAGCAGGTCGAGCCTAAAGCGAGTGGCTCTGGGTGGTGATTCACTCCCAACGGTCTCTGCTGCCACCTGCCGAGGCTCGGAAAAGCAAACACGTGAGAAGTCAGTTGGTCCTGCCCGTCTTTTTCTAGGCAGGGGAACTCTCTAGGGTGCTTCTTTTTGACATCAATCCTTGTTCTGATTCTGCCTGTGATCCCAACCCAGCTGCTCCTTAGTGACATGGCTTACAAATCCTGAAAATACATGTATTTTTACAATTCAGTTTATCTTTATATTTAAGCTTTTTCTTACAAATTGGGTAAAGGGTCTACAGGGCAGATCTACTTTCCATTCAACAATTCATGCATATCTTGGTTCATCTCGTTGATTGCAATCCCCGTTAAAATGATTTTGCCTCAGAGGGTTGCAATGGCTGCTTCCAAAGGAAAGGAGGGAATGCACTTTGAAATGAGTTGGTTTCACAAAGTGGTTTAAAAGCTCAGGCTCTGGAATCTTATCTGTCATTACTAAATGCAGCCTTGTACAAGGTTAGTTACTCTTTTCCCAACCTCAGCCTCCTCTCTGAAAACTGACACCAAAAATAGGCTCTGGTCATTACTCTGTTATGAGGACAAAACAGGTAAAGGATGCAAGGCACTGAGTACAGCTCTTGTTCACAATTTCCAGCATACACAAGGGTGTAGCAAAGAACACAACCAATCCCTCTTTAGCCACTGGCCAGCTTTGGCAAAGTGAGGGTTCACACAGATGGAGACAAGGCCTGGTGACTGTAGGGTACACAGGCACCCCCACAGGTCCTGCCCCTGGCCTCCCCCCTCCCCTTGAAAAGCAGAGGGCCAGAGCTGACCACCAAGGTCACATTGTCACGCAGGCATTCCAAGGCAGTGACTGTGGGACGGGCTTGGAGGCACAGTCAGTCCACCCTGGTGCTCCAAGATGGTAACAGGTTCTGAGACTAAGTCTTGATGTAACTCAAAAAATATCATCTTTGTCCCTCGAAGTGGCCAGTGGTTTTCGAACTGTTGGCCTTGTGGTGAGTGACTCAACACGTAACCCACTATGGATGAAGCAAATGGAGCAGCTTCCTGCACCCAGTGTGTGCACCTCACGTCTCCTGTATCTAACATGATGGTGCTGCCAGCCACGCGGGGCTGCCGCTTTTGTATGCCAAGTCGCTCCCGACAGGGTTGCTATGAGTCAGCATTGACTGAATGGCAGTGAGCTGACTCTCTGATGGGGATTTCTGAACTGGGTTAGACCCTTCTGAGCCCACGGACGTGGACACCGTTATCTGACGTGGAGCATGCATGGTGGGCTTCCCCGCTGACTCAGAGCAGCTCAAGGCTAGAAGTGCGTGCTCTTTTTCTTGGTCTCCTTTGCAGGCTGGTGGTCCATGAAGTCTACCGCCAATGTCACCATTCGACCTCTGCCTAGGTCAAGTGTCAACACATTCTTAAAGGCCATCAGAATTTCCAGTTGAAATAAAGATCAAATGGACTGAAAGCAGAGAGGCAAGAGCAGGATTCTAATGATGAGTCTCCAAGCCTCATCTGATCCATCTGGACACCGGCTTCTGCCCTGGCACCTGGCCTGGGGGTACCCGCATGAATCTGGGCATCCCAGTAACGTCTCTATAGACAGACCCGGCCTTGTGTGCTCAGGACCCTCAGGCAGGCACTGAGCAGAGGCTGGCTCTGTTGTATGGCTCAGTACCTTCCGATTGACTTCTCTGATGTTTTGAAAACATGGGAAGAAGGGGGTGGGGGTGGGGGACATTAAATCTATTTCTCCATTGGACTAATTCTGGCTTAACATAGGGCTTTCCACTCTATAAAGAACCCATCTCAGAAACCCACAGGGGCAGTTCCACCCTCTCCTATAGGTTGCTCTGAGTCGCAGTGAGAGACAGAAAGAGAGATTGAACTAATACCTGCGGGATCATACAGATATCACCCTATTCCCTAAAAATGAGTCTGCATTTGCACCATCATGTTTAGTTAAAGAACCATTTCCTTCCACCAATAATGCTGCAGTTGCCCCCTTCCTGAGAGTTACAAATGACTCATGATTTCACCAAATGATCAACTTCCTGTCAGAACAAGTCAGGATGACTCAGGAGAAAGAGAATCAGAACAGGAAAAAGCTACTACCGTTTCCCCGAAAATAAGACAGTGTCTTATATTAATTTTTGCTCCCAAATATGCGCTAGGTCTTATTTTCAGGGGATGTCTTATTTTTCCATGAAGAAGAGTAGGTACACATTTATTGTCTTATTAAAAGAGACCTCGCACTTCCTGTCTGCTCCGGCTGTGCTGCAGCCAACAGTGAGCTGCGCAGAGGCGCCCGCTGCTACAGTCCAGAGTACAGAGTTACAGTGGGGGGGGCGCGCCGGGGGCTTATTTTGGGGGAAGTCTTATTTTTGGGGTGGTCTTATTTTCGCAGGGATGCCTTATAGTTCAGTGAGAGGCAAAACTGTAAGTAGGTCTCATTTCAGGGGATGTCTTACTTTCCGGGAAACGGTAGTGCCCCACAGGCACGCCCCTAAAGGGAAGAGGCTGCAATGGAGAAAAGGAAGCCCCCAAGGGGAGGGCTGGGGAGTTTACTGGAGACAGAGGCGGGGGAGGGGCAGACTCCTGGGCTACCTCAAGGGTCCGGGCTGTTGCTATCAGTAGGTGGTCTCGAGGCAGCTCTGATCCACAGGGACCTTTGTGTACCACACCGTGCTCACAATGGTTCTGATGTTGGAACCCACTGATGCGGCCAGTGTCCATCACCTTGACAAGGGCCTCCCTCTTCTTCGAGGCCCCTGCGCGTGAGGAGGCAGGATGCGCTTCTCCAGGGACTGGTCTCCCCGACCACATGTCCAAAGTCCGCAGGACAAAGCCTCGCCATCCCTGCCTCCAAGAAGGAGCACTCACCCGCACGTCTTCTTCCTTCCTTCCTTCCTTCCTTTCTTCCTTCCTTCCTTCCTTCCTTCCTTTCAATCAACAGCTCTTATAACTTTCCACACAGCCACTGTGTCAAGCTATTTGGCCACATGTTGCCATCGTCGGTTTCTAAACATTCACTTTCTAGTTGTGCCTGTGGCATCCGCTCCTCTGGACGGTGCTTCTTCCAGGACAGATTTGTTTGTTCTTCCGGCAGGGCAGTCCGTGGTACTTCTAATGCTATTTGCCAGCACTGTAATCCAAGTGCATCAACTCTTCTCTGGTCTTGCTCATTCGGTGTCCAACTTTCACATGCATATGAGGCAACTGAAAATACCATGGCTAGGGTCAGGTGCCCCGTAGTCCTCAAAGTAACATTCCTCCTTTCCAACAAGTCCAAGATAGGGAGAGAGGAATGACAACAGCCACAACCCAAAGGCCAAAGCCCCAGACAAGAGACTGGGCTGAGCGTCACTGCTGGGAGACCCTGCTGTTGGGCTGAGACACAGATGTTGTCAGACACCACTCAGGCTCTAAGCATTCAAGAGAAGCCCAAGATGGCCAGAGCCAATTACAGAAGAAGAAACGAACGAGCAGTTGCTCTTTGTGAATCCCGGTGAGGCTGTCGTCACGTGATGGGTTGCTCGGCGGAGAAGGCCAGTGTGCATGGAAGACAGGAGGAGCGAGAAGCGAGGCATCCCCCGAGCTTAGAAGCAGCATTCCAAGCATGCCATGACTTTTTAAAGGCTCTCTACGTTTTAGAAAACCAGAAATTCTAATATTCCTCACGGACTTTAGAATTTCTGACCAGCAAGCAGCCTTAGCAAATAAAAAACACACCGGGTCTGACCGATCCCAGTTTATTATGAGCTCCCTCAGCATCCCAAACACACAGGGACATGGCCCACCTCGCCCCATGCGCCGAGTCCCTTGTGGCCGCTCTTCAGGGATAAGGATGCTCAGGGAGCCTCGGCTCCTGACCAAACGCCCCCGAGCAGTGAAGTCCCGTGGAGCTCAGGGCAGTGGAGGGCAGCAGCCATGCTTGGTGGCTCTGTGCACGCGTTGGGATGAACGGAAGTTCTCCCTCTGAAGCACAGACAACTAACAGGGCACCACAAGGCGGTCGTACATCCCACAGCATGTATATCACAAAGAACTTCCAGCACCTTATCTAACTCCCAAAGCAGGGACACGATGGCATTTCCGTTTTACAGGGGAGTGGGGTGGGAGGAATTCCTTCCTTACTCATTGGTCTCGTGGCCCTCTGGGCCACACACCGCTAGGATGTGGACTGGTGCAACGTAAACTCCTCTCCCCACGCTGGCCACACACCACTAGGATGTGGACTGGTGCAACGTAAACTCCTCTCCTCACGCTGGTCCCACGTGTGCACAACAAATTCAAATAAAACACACAGGGCAAAAGACGGTCCCTAAGCTTCCGACGGCCCTCCAGACCCTGCCTCCACGGTGCGTCGGGAGAGGGTCTGAGGACAGAGCAAGAGGCTTTAAAAACCAAAGGGCTGTTACCTGTTTCATCTCCCCGATGTGAACATGCTCTTTTTGTTTCTCTTCATAGAAACTCCTCAGGAACGAAACAATCAGTTCATTCTCCTGCTGCTCATTTCTTGGTCTCAGTTTCTTTTTATTAAAAAAAGAAGAACAACAACACAAGACAGCAGGTCACATTTATTTCCAATTGTCAACCAAACTGCTCGTTGTCTCCTTGGGAACCCTAATAGCCTCCACCCATTCGTGGACTCGTGGCTTTACCCCATCTCCTCACTAGGGGGCAGCAACGATCTTGAACTTGGCAGACACACACACACACACACACACACACACACACACACACACAGCAGCGGCACTAGGGCGTAGCTTTCCATCTCTGGCGTCTTCTTACCTAAAATAGTTGATATTTCACATCAGATAGAGGACTACTCGAATTGGCTAAGAGATAAATCATTTTGAAAACAGGGAAAAGGTCAAAATCTGCGTAAATACCCAGAGGTCAAGAGCCACAGCAACTACCCATTTATCAACTCTTAGGGTTAAGGGAACCTGGAAAGAAAAACAGAACCTGAACTGGGGTCCTGGTCCCTCACGTGAACGCAGTCATCATGAGGTACTCGTGGAAGCCCTCCCACCCCATCCACACCCTCACCCCTACCCCCGAGGCTGGCAGGATGCTCCCCCGGTCTTCCTTGTCCTCCTCCTCTCTTAGAGCCCGGCCTCTCTGTTCTAGACAGCGCGGTGGCACCACACGCACCCTGGACTCGAACTCAGAACTAGGAGGTGCCTAAAAGCCTGGTGCCGAAAAGCATGGCAAAGGCCAGTCCCTGAATCTCAGCGGCTTCATCTGTCCATGCGAAGATGAGAAAGAAGCAGGCTCCAGAGCCCGTTCAAAAAGGCTGAGATAGTTTATTGTGCCAGCCTGGCCGATAAACACGAGTGGGATTAACCGAAGGGCAGAGAGATAAATGGCTTGGTGAGCCTCGTCTTTCTTGTCTCTCGCTCTTTGATCATCGGACCAGTGTGCGGCTGCCTTGCTTGTCCTGTGCCTCAATTTAAAGGCTACACTACCTGTGGGACGCCTAGCCTGTGGACTGTGTCACTGTAAGTTGAGGTCCCTTTAAGACATCGCTGGAGCTGGGGACTGGCGGTTGGTGACCTGCCTTGTGATTGGTTGCTGTGCTGACATAGCCTAGCTCTCTCTACAAATAGAGGAAGATCTGGCAGCAGACTAGACTTGAAGGACTGCTAGTCTCTCACAACTCTCTCTCACGGACGGACGTGAGTTGCACTGAGTCATTTGTAGTGCTTGATAATTTAACTGTTTATTTCTTGTATTATATATTTATCTGTGTATGATTTAACAGTTCATTTCTTGTTATATAGCTAATTATCTTTATAAATAGATATATTAAATTATCAGCAATTTGGTTTTATCTCTCTAGAGAACCCTGTCTAACACAAAGGCCTTCAAACTGGAGAAACACAAAGCTGCTTGCCTGACCCTCAGACGCTGGGTCCCCTTGGCTGGCTCTCCCCATGCCCCAGCTCAGCCACTGTTCCCATCCCGGCGCCGGCCTGCCCTTTGAAACACAGCCCGGTGTAGTAAGGGGCCAGGGCTTTGGTCCATGCCATCCTTGGCAGCCTCCTCCCCAGTGTCTGAGGGATGGGATTCCTGCCTGTCCTGGAGCCAGAAAGCAAAGGTGACACTAACTCAACCCTCCTGACATTTCCACTCGTCAAGAAAAAGGTCATTTTAAAAGTCAGGGCACTCCTGTTGCATGAGAAAACAGTCCGTGAGTAGAAGGGCGTGCTGCCCTTGGGGACACTGGGGACTTCCTGTCCTTTCCAAGCATCAGACTGATGGAGAAAGTCTTGTAGAGGCTGGAGCAGAGGCTGCCGCCCTGGGCTCCACACCAGGAGGCCAACCAGAGAGATGATGAAATGCTGGCCTCTTAGATGCTCCATCTGTCCCTCACAAAGGGCAATAGGTCATAGGGACGACCCCAGAGTCCATTAGGATGAAGCCTCTGGTGAACCCCTCTGACCACAGATGGGGTGGGAATCGCCTCGCTATCAGGCAGAACGCAGTGGGGCTTTTAGCATTGTTTTTGGCTTCTTTGTTGTCTTTGGTTTGCAGTCTCTGAAATCCAGGTTGGGTAGAGCTGTCGAAGCAGAGAGGCCATGGATGGTCTCTTGGAGGGGCCAAGGGGGTGGTGGGGGCAGGTGAGGAGCTGAAGACAACTAAGGATAAGAAAGACATCAATGTCCTAAGACTGACTGCGGAGAAGGAAAATAAGGAAAGAGGTAGTAAAACAAGGACCACACTGCCAGGTCATGCCCGCCCCGCCGTGGTCACACCTGACTGCACCGTGACACTGGGAAACACCCTCTGTTATCCCAAGAGCCTCGGCGGCCATAAGCAACAGGGGAACATGGGTCCACAATCCCGGCAAGAGGCACAGGCAGGCATGACGGGAGGCAACCAAGCAAGTTTGGGGTCCTGAGGGTGGACCAGGTCTCCCCTCGCCTGTTTCGCTTTGTTTTTTAAATAAATCTGTGCCCTCACGTCATGGGCAAATGTTTACTGAGATGTTTGTGGAATTCTTCACGAGAGCTCGTTTCTAAGTGCCAAGAATAAAAAGCCTCACTGCCATGGACGCAATTCTGACTCACAGGGACCCTCTGGGGCAGGGCAGCACTGCCCTGTGGGTTTCTGAGGCTGTCACTCTGCACAAGAGTAGAAGGCCCATCTTTCTCCCCCCCAGGTGGCTGGTGGTTTCAAACTGCTGACCTTGAAGTTAGCAGCCCAACACATAACCACTATGCCACAGGGTTCCCCTCCGCATCAAGAATAGTGTGATTTAAGTATCTAGCAATGAGTGAGGCATATTCTTCTTCTTCTTCTTAATATGCATGGGAGTTATTATTCAAATGGACAACAACATGATAACTGAACATAATGTGCTACAATCGTGTCTTCCTTAAGAAACTGAAGCCAAGAAGCAGAAAACTGTGTCAGGAAGCTCATCAAACATCCCTGAGCAAACGGCATTGAAGCAGCGAAGGCCATGCTTCTGGTTTCCCAGGAGATCAGGAAATAAACTCTGCCTTGAAGGTACTCTGAGTGGGAACGGCGGCGGCCTTCCCCAGAACCCTGCAGTCAGTCCGGTGTCCTCTCATCAGTGGCCCCAGGTCACTTGCACTGACCCCAACAGCAGCAGACCGTTGCTCCTGAAAGGCGATTTGCTTTGAAACACCCCCGCAAATGCAAGAGTCCCAGGAGGAGTGGGGAATCAAGCCGGATGACATTTTCCAGCCAAAAACAACCCCAGCAACTTGTTCCCTTCAGACAAATGCATGGGGCCCATGGTCAGGGTGGTGAGGAGGCTTCCTGTGCGATGGAAATGTTGTTTTTACATCTAGCTGCTGCCTGCACAGTGTGTTCACCTTGGGAAAACACTACTGAGTCACACACCACTCGTTTGTTTGCTTGTCAGGGTAAACTCCACGTCGGCTCCGATCCGTAGCAACCCTGCGAACACCGGATGAAACACCGCCCGCCCCGCGGCGTCCTCAGGGCTGTTCCTATGCCTGAGCCCACGGTGCCGCCACGGCGTCAATCCACACTGAGGGCGGGCAGAGGCATCCCCTGAGCAGAGGACTGGCACGTGTGGGCCAGCGGCCACGTCTCCCACCTCCCGGGACAGTCTGCCCTCAGGGATTGAACTGTGTCCCCACCACGTGTGCGCAATGCCTCGGGCTTACACCTGCAGATAGGACACTGGTTGGACGTGGGAGTTTGTGTCTGTCGATAGACAATGTTCATAGCCATGGAGGTGTAGACTGGGTCCTAAAAGTAATCACTTCTGAGTTACACAAGGCCAGAATAGACTGTGTGTGTGTGCGTGTTTCTTCCTCCACTCCCAAATCTCTTACACACACATATACACTCAGAAACAAACACAGAGGGTAGAGGAAGAATAGACGAGAATCATCTTCTAGTCAAGGAACACCAAGAGGTCAAGGAGCTACCGGCAAGGGAGGAAATGGTCCAGCTGAGGCCCAATGTGAACCTCTGGCATCCAGAATGGTGAGAAAACGGATTTGTTCCATAAAAGTCAATCCTCTGGGTTCCTGGTGTGACAGCAGCATTATGCTCTTGGTACCATCCAATGGCAGAGGGTCTAAAATAGTTATCGCCAATCTCCAATTAAAAGACTTCCCAGTGTAAGCCATTCTCACCAGAGCACTGAGCCACTCTGGGCGGCATCTGCCACGCCGCCCACTCCAGGAACTGCCCAGCCTAAACCACGAGGCGTTCTGTGTCACTTGCTCGGCACTCGGGTGGCATTTAGTCTGCTGTCTTTCGTAGATCCCAGGACTTAGGTAAGCTGCCTGCCATCTCTTTCCTTCAACAAACCCAAATCAGCACAGTACCTGGACCTCCTCAAAAACGGTGGCTTGTTCCTGGTTAGTCAACGTTGTCAGGTGCTTCTGGAGTTCTAGCTTGGCTTTGGACGCACTCATTCCTATCAAGAAGAGAGAGACGCATTAAAAAGCTCCCCATAAAAGTTATGAAGCAGAGTACACACACACACACACACACACACACACACACACACACACACACACCACCTTCACATTCGTACCGACTGGACTTGCAGACATGAACCAGCATGGCCATTTGCTCCGGGCTCTGGAGGTTTGATGGAGATTCTGATCACCAACGATGACGATGGCAACAGGGAAAGCAACTAACATTTCTCAACTGACCCTTACATGCCCACATTAACACGTCCTGTTGTTGAGTGAGCTCGGGCTCACGGCGACCCTGTGCACAGAGAGAGGAACTCTGCCTGCCCCGCACCATCGTCACCACGTTGTCGCAGCTCAGCCCACCGTCGCGGGCACTGTGCTGACCCGGCGTGTTGAGCATCGTCATCATCATCATCATCATCATCATCACCTTTTGGGATGTTCTCCTTTACCGAAGGAGGAGGTTCTTGTCCGGGACGAAACCCTCCTGACGGTGTGTCAAAAGCACGCGAGTCAAGCCTCGCTGTCCTCAGATTAAGTACTGCAGCGCCCAGCAAGCCCATTCCGGCTCCCCTACGCAGCCCCAATTCTTGGTTAAGGACGCTGATGGCCGGGAAACTTCGTCTTTTTTTTTTTTTTTTTTAAACATTTTATTAGGGGCTCATACAACTGTTATCCCAATCCATACACACATCAATTGTGTAAAGTGTATTTGTACATCAATTTACAATATTCTCGGGAATATTTCTGTAAGTAAATATCTATTTTGAAATGATAATCCTATAAGAAAAATAATTTTTTTTGTTTTGTTTTTTTTAAAGATGGAAGTTTTCTTTTTATTTGGATCCATCATCAATGCCCCTGGGATCAGAAGTCAGGAAATCAAATGACGTATTGCATGGGGAAAATCTGCTGCAAAGTAATTCCTTGCAGACCTGGTTAGACCAGATGATGCACAGCGGTACAGAGGGGAATTGGAAGCGCAGGGAATGTAGGACGGAAGAAACTCTCAAGACCGGGGGTGAATGGGGCGATATCAGGAGGGAAAGGGGAGGTAGTAAGGGGGAATGGATCACAGGGAGCCACATATGGCCTCCTCTCTGGGGGACGGGCAGCAGCGGGGTGGGTGAAGGGAGGCGCCGGACAGTGTAATATAAGATACAATAATAATTTATAAATTATTAAGGGTGCATGGGGGAAAGGGAAGGGGAGGGGGGGAAAATTTAAAAAAAAGGAAAATGAGCGGATTCCGGGAACCCAAGAGGCAAGAAAATTTTGGGAATGATGAGGGCAACAAATGTATAGATGTGCTTTACACAATTGATCTATGTATTGTGACGAATTGTATGAGCCCCAATAAATTGATTAAAAAAAAAAAAAAAAAGAAACTTCGTCTTTAAAGATCATCCACGTGGGGAGACCCGCCCGTTCCCAGCCAAGGAGGAGCCACTGGGAGGGGCCGCGTCAGGCAAGAGGAACCCTGGGCTCCCTTCTCAGGAGCAGCACGAGGGCAGCAGCCAGTGCGTCCCAGCCCATGTGGCGACCCCGCCAGCCCGTCTCCTTCAAAGGGGAAATCTGACGGCCAGGGCGAACGGAGCTTTTCTCTCCTTGTATCATGGCGGCTTCGGGGAAAGTGTCTGAGATACTCTGAAAGTGATCAAATCATTGTTATATTTTCACAAAAGCCACCTGGGGTGTGACTTCCCTAAAATCACTAAAGATATAAAAAAGAAGAGATTTCAGGAAAACTTCCCATAAGTGCGAGTTAAAGAAAATCGGGGCAAGAGAGGCAGATTCCTTCTTGCACCACTCCTGTGAGCCCTGTGGCCGTGAACCTGGCCCCTGCCTGGCTCTGTGCTCCCCGTCAGCCCTCCCTTGGGGTGCAGAGAAGAACACTCTCTTGCCTAAGGCTGAATGCCACCCACCCCGCTCTGGCTCCGGAGGCATGGCCTCCATCCCACTCTGATGGCCGGAAACTGCTCAACTCCTTCTACTGGTTAGAAACAGAAGTCAGCAGGAGACTTTGGGCTCCCTCCTCCCCCCACCCGACAGTCCTGTCTTAGGAAGGCACCCTCGCTGGCAGGGAAGCAGGAGGAGAGGGAGCAGTGGCCGCTCCAGGCAGCCTTGGCTGAGCAGAGGAACGGCTGGGACCTTTCTGCTGAAGTTCCTCCTGGTGGGTTCCAATCACCCTCTCTGGGCCAGGAGTCAAGCACTTAACTGAGGACAGCGACAGCTCCGGGCTTTATCATCCAGAGCTAAGCCCAGGGCTCAGCAGAGACGAGCGAGCATATTGTGAGACTGCTATCAGACTTCTTTAATCTTCAGGTCACTCCCCTGTAAAATGGGCAAAGCCAACAGCCCCCCTCCTCCCGGAAACGAGGTGAGGATGAAATCGGTGAGGAAAGTTAAGTCAACTACAACACTTGGCCAGGGCACATCAGATGCCTTAACTGAAGATTGGACACAAATCACACTGTATTACGATGATCTGTTCTTCGACCACAGTGCTGGAAGCCGGGCACAACTCGGTATTTCTCTCATTCCTTTCCACTCGTCCCCCAACTGCAACCTGCTTCCCGTCTCCACCGGCGCTTCAGTTTTTGGCAGCAATAACGGCAACTTCCTACGTGAGAAATCCACTAGAACTTCCTCAGCTCTTACTTTCCCTACAGAGGTCGATCAGGAGGAAGAGGAGGCTTGCTACCTCTGTTACCGTCTCGGAAACCCACGGGGGCAGTTCTACCCTGTCCCATAGGGCGGCTGTGAGTTCCAACTGACTCAGGGGCAGTGGGTCAGGTTTGGGAGAGAGGTCAATATGACCGACTACTCGCAAGCCACGCGAAATGCTCTACAGCTGGTCCCGGGCCTCCTGCTCCTCTGACCCTTCAGCACCTAGCCCCAAAGTACCTTGGAGAGAAGATGGCAGAAGTGGACCACCTGCCGATCCCCAACCCCGACACGCTGCCCTGGATAAACCGCTTTCAACCGATGGTGGCACTGGTGAGGAACGTGGAAAGTATACTACAAACTGTCAGAAGGACAGACATCTGTCTTGAGGGAAGTGCAGCCAGAATGATCCAGAGAGGCAAGGATGGCGAGACCTGGCCTCACACTCTTTGGACATGCTACCAGAACATGAGGGTGGTCTCCCTGACCACGGCATGCTGGGTAAAACGAGGCGGCGGGGAGGAACAGGAAGACACCCCATCGGATGGACGGGCACGGTGGCTGCAACCATGGGCTCCAAGGGGACAACACTTGTGAGGCTGGCGCAGGACCGGGCAGTGTTTCTCTCTGTGCCACCTAGGGTGGCGATGAGTCAGAACGGACCTGGTGGGACGTAACCACAACAATCCCCAGTCTCAGGGCCATGCCCGATACACAGCAGACATCTGCTGGAAGTTTACCCACAACCTGCTTAGCAAACACCAGCCTGAGTTGCACAGAACTTCCCAAGGGGTGTCCCCTAAGGTTTTCCTGGGACCTTTGCTGGAAAGCTCAGGGGGGTCCGACCACTCACCCTCTATCCTCTCACAGAGCTTATGCAGGCACTGCACAGGGCAGCCCTCACAGAGCTGAGCGGGGGCCTTCGAAGTCCGCTGTCCCGCGGCCACCGTGAAGGCCTGCTCCAGGGTCATCATCATTTCGTCCACCTGGTGGGAGAGCGGAGAAACAGAGGCAGCGGGCCGGCGTTTTACACTAGCCGGGCTGAGCTCCAGGAGGGTGTTGTAGCAAACCTTCCTATTTTGGGGCTGTGTTCTGTGATCTGTGTTACAGGTTGACAGATTGCAACCATAATAACTTCTAGGACCCCATTTTGAGAAATACTACCCTGATGTTCAACTCTGCAAAAGCAAGAAAGTTAAAACAGAAACTAAAAGCACAACAAATACTGACGGTCGAAGTGACAAGTTAAAATGGTAGACCAGAGGGAGAAGGAAGGCAGTTCTTCAAAAATACTTAAACATTTCATTGTACACCCCAAAAAAGTTCCGATGCGAAGCTGTTATTTGGCAGTCAGGAATGAGTAAATAGGTCAAATAATGGCATGTCAGTGAGGCTCTACATGGCTTGGCTGAAGACACACAAAGTGTGCCTTATCATTAGGTGTTATGCTGACAATGACCCGTTCTGTGAGGAGCCCTGGTGGCATTAGTGGGCTAACTGCAAGGTGGGCAGTTCAAAACCGCCAGGCACTCCTTGGGAGAAAGATGAGGCTACACAGGAGTTGGTGCCTGGGAAACCCACAGGGGCAGATCCACTCTGTCCTACAGGGAGGGCTGTTATGGGTCGGAGCAGACCCGATGGCAGTGAATTTGGTTGGCTGGTTGGCCTGGGTCTTACCAAAGCTTCATTTGTGCACTGAAACACATAGCAGACGAAGTGAATGCCGCCACTGCTGGAAGACTCTCGGCAGATGAACCCGAAGTGGTCCACGTGTCTGATGCCCTGGGGGAGGGGGAGGAGAGGGGGAGGGAACGCTGAGTGTTCTCAGAGATGCAACTCATGCTTTACGCACTCAAGCCTAAAGCGCACTATAAAATCACTCCTCTCGGGTGCTTTTCGCCAACAATAAATAGGAAACCAAGTCTCTCTCTCAAGCAGGATGAAGACGAATACCGTTCTCCAAAACTGCTACTTTGACAGCCTCTACAAGGATGAGAGGAGCCAGCTCTTAAAAGGGGCATTGTAAGATATTCAATCTAGTACTAAATTTAGGAAGCGGAGAAAACACAGAGCCATTAGAACCTGTCACTTCGTAGGGGCTTAGAGAGAAAACAGCATGGAGCATCAAAGAGATCGATACACAAGCAGCTTGGGGGGTGCACTCTAAAGCTATTCTGGGGTTATCGCCAGGAGGGGCTGCTAAGCACACACAGAGTGCGCTCCAAAATAAACCCCCTGCCACCGAGGCAATTCTGACTGGTGGCAAAACTAAGGGGCAGAGCAGAACTGCCCTGTAAGTTTCTGAGGCTGTCAGTCTTTCCCTGAGCAGAAAGCCTCGTCTTTCTCCCTCGGAGGGGCTGGTAGGTCTGAACGGCTGCCGCAGGGCAAGGTGCAACCCACCCGCACAGAATAGGGAAGCTTTTAAAAACACAGGGTTTTGAGGCCCAGCCTTTCCCCCTCACTTCCTATGGGCTCTTTTCAATCAACATCAATATATAAACTTGTATTGAAAACATCGGCTGGCAGAGGCACCTGAATACAGAGACCACCACCACCTTCTGCAGGTATCGGTGCGGCAAACTGAAGACCAGAGACAGTGTGACGCTCTCTCATGCAGCCTTACTTGCTGGCACACCAGAGTCCGTGTGCTATGCATAATGGCAAGCAATTAGCATGACGGTTTCAAACCAGCAAATCAGCAGCAGATCATGAGGGAAAGAAAACAATTGTACATTATCTCAGTCCCGGGCCAAATACTTTCCAACAAATGAATGGTCACTGGCAGAGCCAGGCATCACCTGCTACAGGTGACTTCTTAGAGCAGTGGTTCTCCACCTGTGGGTCGAGACCCCTTTGGGGGTCGAACAACCCTTTCACAGGGGTCGCCCGATTCAGAACAGTAGCAAAATGACAGTTATGATCTAGCAACGAAAGTAATTTTATGGTTAGGGGGTCCTCACAACATGAGGAACTGTATGAAAGGGTCGAGGCATTAGGAAGATTGAGAACCACAGTCTTAGAGGAAGACGCTTTAGCAGAGAGATCACGCTTTTATCAATGGGCAGCAAATGCTATTTTCAGGTTTGGCAAAAGGAACTTTTCCTTTAGGATCCTGACGGGAATTCCCCTTTCCCCTGCATACATCAGAAAACAATGAGCTACTGGACCTCATTAGTCATGGAAATAAGCGGTGAGTTTACAAGGTTTCAAAAACATAACTTGAATAGTCCCTAATGATGTTTCATATTTGACAGAAGACCTGAGTAAAAACTGGTCTAGTTCATCATGCTTGACAGATGAATCCTCCTGAAAGTCTCTCAAAATATCTTTGTTAAGAGATTATCAAGAAAGCAATGCTTATGTTGGCATGGCAGTCTGAGTAAAGTATCTCAGATTTGCACTGTGTTATTTTTTTTTATTAAATATTTTTATTGGGGGCTCTTACATCTCTTATCACAATCCATCCAGCGTGTCAAGTACATTTGCACATATGCTGCCATCATCATTTTCAAAGCATTCTCTTCCTACTTAAACCCCTGATATCAGCTCCCCATTTTGTGTGTTATATTTTAAGGGGGAAGAAAGGGATGATGGGTACACACTTTTGTAAAGCAGAAATCAACCTCTATGTAGAGAGGTGGATGTGTGAACGCACAGGGAGAACCCGACTCACAACATCTAACGACGATGAACCGTTCACCCAGCGCCCGTGTGTCGTTAGCTGTCTGAGCTGCAGCACCTCAGGTCCTGTGGTCACCCGCAGATGCTCGATTTTACGATTTACGGCTCAAAACACTGCTCGGCTTATGAAAATACTGATTTTAAAAGGCAGTAATAGTCAACTAAAAAAGAAAAAGGTCTTCAACTTAGGTCAGAAGTGATTCACGATGGTGTCGTCGGAACGGAGCTCTGCTGTAAATCGGGAGCTACCTGCATCTAACACACACACACACACACACACACACACACACACACACACACACACCAAGAAACCACGATGGCGAAGCATGGCTACTGATGGTTACCGAAAGAGACACACTGATTTTTCTCCTGTTCGTTACGGTCACAGAGAGCAAAATTCTAATTTCCAAATTTTGTTTCTCTTTGACCTTAATTCAGGCGGTTCCCAGGTTAGGAACAAGTTTCATTCCTAAATCTTTCGGTCAAGAGTGCACGTCAATTGCAGCCACGGGGTCTGGCTCCTGTAAGTCGGTGAACTGTCGGTCTCGGTGCAGAATCCAGGGTGTTCGTGTCTGTGCATAAGACACTTCTAGATGCCCAGCGCTAGCATTAACATAAGAAAGTGATGGCAATGGGATTTTATTGTTGTTTCTTTGTTTTGTTTTTTTAAATCAATTTATTGGGGGCTCTTACAGCTCTTATAACATTCCATACATCAATTGTATCAAGCATATTTATTATCTATGTTGCCATCATCATTTTCTAAACACTGATTTTCCCTTTAAGCCCTTGGTATCAGCTCCTCTTTTGTCCCTCCCGCCCTCACCCTTCCACCTTTATGAACCCTTGATAAATTATAAATTATTATTGTTTTCATATCTTACACCCACCACTGTCTCCCTTCCCCCACATTTCTGTTGTTCATTCCTTTGGGGTGAGGGGTGGGGATTAAGCATCAATCAAGATCAGTTCCTCCTTCTCCCTACCGTCCTGGGATCGCTACTCCCAATTCTGATCCTGGGGGTTTATATGACGTGGATTCCGTGTGTGGTGAGCTCTTATCTGTATCAGTGTACATGCTCCAGTCGGGCCAGAACTTAAAGGCAGGACTGGGGTCAAGGTAGTGGAGGGTGAGGACACCTGAATGAACCAGAGGAATATTGTGTGTTTCGTCGGTGCTTTACTGCACCCTGGTGGACTCATCCCTTCCTTGTGACCCTTCTGTGAGAGGGTGTCCTATAGTCGACAGAAGGGTTTGGGTCGATGGCGATGTTTCGATGCATGTTGCAGCGTGGTGCCCATTTGTTTTCAGAAACCATGGTGTGCACCTCCAAGTTTCAACACAATGGGCTTACATCTGGACATACATGCGGACAGATGCATGCAGCGTACGGTTGTAAAAGGCTTTGGGAGAGTTGGTCCTTAACCCGGAGTGGACATTAGGTGACGTCCTTCACCCGGGCAGCTGCCTGTACAACTAAAGCAGAGAAGAAAGCAGAGAGAGCAGCTCTAGTACGTAGAAAACGCCTTGGTAACCAGTGTGCATCTGCTGCATCAAAAGAAGTCACTTACAGAATGCCCACTGCAATTGGCCCGATGGCCCGCTGCCATTTACCTGAGAGCAAAACGAGATCTCCTTAAAATTTTTCTCAAGCGCTACTTTTTTGGTGTCGGGGCTGATGAGGTAAACTTCGGACTGGCCGATCTTAAAAAGAGAAACAAACAAACAAAAAGAAACTAGTTTAACGTGGAAGTTGAATTTAAAGCTGTCAGACAAACTTTTCTTACTGCATGCTGTATGTAAACGAATAATGATGGAACAAACCCCTTTATAAAGGTCTAGCTGTATAACCCTGGAGGCTGCTAACTGCAGGACAAATGGCTCAAATCCACCAGTCGCTTCTACGAAAGGAAGACAAGACTTTGTGCTCCTGTACAGAGTTACAGCCTCAGAGGCACACGGGCTTTTCTGGCCTGTCCCACAGGGACACTGTGAGTCGGAATGGGCTTGACAGTAATGGCTGTGCGGCCAGGAAATCACGCCAAGGATTGCTTGCAGCAAAGGAGTAATGCTACAGGCACCCACGTCAGACAGCAACCTTGAGGCAAAAGGATCAAATAACCCAAAAGAAGGAATGAACCCTCAAACTAAACATCCCTCTTCTAGAAAAGTGAGGTTTCTATAGAAGTCAATCTTTAGGAAAAGGTAAGCTTCTCAAAAAAAACCCAAAAAACTAACCTAAAGATTTTTTTTTACGACTTTTATGAGTTTAGGGGTGGTACAGTTAACACATTCACCTGCTAAAAGGATAGCGCTTCGGGTCCACCCAGAAGTCCCTAGGAAGAGAGGCCTGGTGATCGTCCCAAAAGGCGGCCACCGAAAACCCTATGGAGAGCAGGTCTCCTCTGATTGGGTTGCCACGGGTCAGAATCAACTTATGGCAACTGCTTTTTACTTTTTATTGTAAAATCTTCCTAAATTATTGTTGAAACAGTGCCCATTTCTTAAGTACATACTGCGTGGGAGGCATTTGCCTGACTTTCAGTTGGCGTATTAGCCTGGGTAAAGATAATGCCTAATTGGCCTATCATAATAGACACCATTAGAGTTGAGTCTTGCCGTACACCACTCACCATTAGGAAGAGCCCTGATGGCATCATGGATTACACATTAGGCTGCTCACCACAGGTTGGTGGCTCAAACCTACCCGCTGCTCCCCGGAGAATGAGGCTGTCTGCTCCCATAAAGAGTGTCAGCCTCCGAGACGCACAGCTACAGGGTCATCCCGAGCTGGAACCGACTCAATGGCAGTGAGTTCTACCGATTATTGTTGACTCTATACCCATCCCCAGCGCGGCCGCCGGCCCCGGGTGGCAACGTTCCATGAGACAGCGGTCCTTCCTCCTCAGAGTAAAGAAGCCAGGGGTCACATCCTGATGTCACCCTAACTCCCAGTCGCTCCCCTTCCTTTAAATTCATACTGTAAGGTATGAGGCAGGTGTACACGCTTTTCGGAAACTAGGGCATGGATCAGGAGTCATCATTACACGCTGAGCGAGGAGTCAGCTGAGACCGCCAACGGGTACGCAGGCAGCCTTTGACCGGCATCCTCCGGTGAAGACTGAGTGTGCTGAGAAACAATTTCCTTTTCCTCTAGACTAGATGGTGTGAGTCTCCGGGGTGGAGCCTTGCCCAGGGCAATACCGAGTACAGAGGGAAACGTGCTGCGAGTCGTTTCTGCAGAGGTCAGTGAAGACTCCCACCCAGTGAAGGGTGTCTCTTTCTAAGTAAAAGCTGGCGAAAGCTCCCAGGGAAGACGTCCCAGAACAGTCATCGGCTGCATGTGTAGAGAGATAACTCAGAAGGTAAAACCGCGTGGGCTCTCGGGTCCCTCCTCCTTTCCCATCACTTCCATCCCGTCTCCACGTCCCAGGAACTGGACCTCTTGAGCACCTGTCCCCCCTCCGTTTTCTCCAGCCCCCTGCCTCCACACCCCAAGCGCCCACCATCTCTCATCTGGACTACCGCAACAGCCTCTGGGTGCTTCTCTCCAGCCCACTCTTGCCCTTCTTCGAAGCACGTCCTCACTGGGAGGCAAAACCTTCAACACTAATCTGTGTTTCAGTCTGCAGTGACGGTCCACTAATATTAGGCTGAAATCCAAAGGCCTCAATAAGACGCATGAAGCGATGTCTAATGAAGCCCCGGCCTCCCCACCAGTCCCATCTCCCCCCACGTCCCCATCTTGCTCCCAGTGGCCCTCTTCCTCATTCAACAAGTAGTTACTGCGCCTACCCTGTGCTGAGCTGCGCTCCAAGCAATTGTGACAGCACCCGTGAACACCAGGGAACAAACACAGAAACCCACGCCCTCGTGGAGAACACTTCTAGGGGGCACATGGGAGAGGAGGTACATTACTTGTAGGTATTTCAGCACAATCCCAAAGACAGCCAGGGAGTAAGACGTGTGAAAATCGAGGAGAAAGTCTGTCAAGCGAAACGAGTAACACCTGCAAGGGTTTCAGGGTTCCAGGCAGGAAGCAGGCTCCATGCCTCCGTAAGGCCGCCTTACCTGCTGCGCCCTGTACTGGGGACGGGCTCCCAGCTGACCACCCCCAACCCTCTGTTCTGTCAAAGTCACTTTCTTGAGGCCTTCCCAGATGTGCCAGCTGTCTTGAAGCACCCTCTGCTTCTCCTGCTTAGTATTTATCACAACTGTAATGAGATAATTACCTGTGCCATCAATTGCCCACCGTCTCTCTCTTTTAACCAGATAGCACTGGGGCAGCTGCAACTCATGAGGCAGCATAGAACTATGCTCCATAGGGTTTTCAATGGCTGGTTCTTCTAAGGGGCACACCTGGGTGGACATGAGCCTCCAACCTTTCGGTTGGCAGTCAAAGACTGTAGCACCCAGGGACTCCCTGGAATCTAAATCCCACAGAGAGTCTGGTTCGCTGCCGTGTTTCTAGCCTATTGTACGTAAGGATGCTGCATGCAGCAGTCACTCATCAAGTCTGTGTTAAGTGAGATAAACTCGAAACCCAGCGAGGCACTTCTCCCGTCCTACAGGGTGACCAGGAGTCTGATTCGACCTGATGACGGCGAGAGAAGACGCTTTCGCAGTGCCCAGTTGCTCTGCTTTGCTTGTGAAACGTGCATGTCTCAGACTGGAACACAAGTACACAAGTCTGAGTGCTGATGAAACACTCTATCACAGACCGGGTCACTGAGTGAAAGAAGAAACCAGCTCTATAAACCTATGAGACACCGTCCGGATTGTAAACCTGAATACATCCACTCAGCATTAAGCCTTGCCATCACCTTCCTTAGCTTCACAAGACATCCCGTTGACCAGAACCTTCTCTCTGTAGCTGTCACAGAGACACAGAAGGGGCCACAGCAGGCTGCTCCTCATGTCAGCAGAAGTCTGGGCCAGCACCGGTCCCGGCACCTCGCTCACACACTCTGACCCAGGGAGCTGGGGG